TAATTTAATTATGAAAAGCACACAAAAAAATAATGATAGAATGATTTTTTTTTAGCTTTCTTTTTAATATAAAAAAATAATTAACATTAAATTTATTTCTATATATAAAATTAATTTATTGTTATTCGATACCATTTAATAATAAGTATCAATGATTTTTTAACTAAAGCATATATTATAACGTTATTATTATGAATGATTCATCGTGATTTCGATATATTAATATATATAAAAAAATAATTCAAATTTTTTTTTACAATCTCATCATATCGTAATTAATTGAAAATCACATAATATTCGAATGAATATTCTAAAAGTCCTCCAAAATATTCCATTTTTCCGTTTCATTCAAATATTCAATGTAAAAATAAAAAAACTGAATATGTAAGAGATATCGAATAGGTAATATTTCTAACATAATGTAAATGTTTCATAAATATTATTGTATCACTTTGATTAAGAAACAAACTGAACACGTTATTACCATGTTGCCTTCGCTTCTCTCCGTTTCATTCGCAGTTGGTTACAGCAGCAGGTGACGATGGAAGATTGTAATTAACGAAGATTCTTTTTTTCTTTTGCCTCTTTCCCTTGATTCAACCTTCTTTTTTTCTTTTTTTTTCTATCTATGGTTTTTGTCACGCCTCCTGAAATCATTCGGTAAGAGTAGATATACGTTCAGGTGTATTCACGCGTAATTATCCATGTGCTTTGAACAATTCTACCCTCATGAAATCATATCTCATGTTCATGACTCACAACTATAGGCTATTTTTGTGGAAGTTAAGGCGGAAGTGCAGGTGTGCAATACACGAATGTTGATGTTTCTTTCGTTTATCTTCTGATCGATATAAATTTTCATTTGTAAATTTAGTTTAATTCTTATGCTAATATTTGAAAATAAAAGATAACGTTAAAAAATAAAATTGTGTCCTTTATATTCAAAGCAAAATTTCATTTTTTAATTTTTAAAGGAATTCTTACTTAATTAAAAATTCTTACTTAATTAAAAATATATTATTTGATTTATCTGCATGAATGATGAGAAGATGAAAAGAAATATAATATAGAAATTTCACTAAGTATTTCAGAATATTTTTAGATTTCTTGAGAATTTTGAACAAAAAAAAAATAAAAATAAATTGTTGACATAAATTACATAGATTATGCGAAAAATATTCTTGCATACGAAAGATTAAGATATAATTTTCTTTTCAAAAGATTTTTCTAATTGAATCAAATTTAAACGAATAATTATTATTTACATTTTATATTATCATTAAATAATTGAAATTAAAAGTTGTACAATTTGAATATTGAAAATAATTTGAAATTTTAGGAATATTCTTTTGAAATTAGACTTGCTATAATTCTTTGACAAATTTTATTTATTTTCATATATTAATAGAATACAACAAATTAATAAGATATTCATTCATGAAATGCGATTTCTATTTCAACTTAAAATCATACTTCAAAATGACATATTTGAAACTGTCAAACTGTCAATCCAAAATGGTGTTTCAGAGAATGAAGCGAAATGGAAGTAAAATTAGTTCAATTCGATTCGACATAAATTCTTTCACGATAAAAT